AAGTATGAATATACATATATAAATACTAGTTTATGTTATGCTTCTTTCTAAAAACACGACTGATTATATTGAAAAATGTAATAAGTAATGAATAAAATATTTATGAGTATCTCATGAAATTGTTTAAAAAAAGGGTTCTCGATGACAAGACTTTACACAGTTTTCTGCGAGTTTCCCTTGACTTCATAACTAAAGGTTTAATTTTTCTTTTTTTAAGACTTTTTTTGTCTTTTCAAAATATAAACTGAAAAACTATTTTACATTATTTTATTACTTTGTACATCAAATATATCTTAGTATTATTTCAGTTAATTTTAAATCATTTTGACTGTATTTGTAATCAAAGTATATATTGTTAAAACTATTTGTAATAAAAGTATGTATTGTTAAAGCTATGTAGTTGTAAAAAATATATGGAAAAAAAAAAAAAAAAAAACAGTTGGTTAAATAGCTACATTAAAAAGTTATCAGCCATCAAAATAAACAACAAAAGGGTGCTAAGTTCCTGAGCTGTTATTCCAGTTAAAACATTGCACTGCATCCTGTAAGTCGACTTTCTATAGTTTTCTAATAAAGGATTTCTATAGTTTTCTGTCAGTTATAAAAAATAATTTAAAAGAAAAACGAAATCTTTTTTTCTTTAAAATTAGTTTTTAATTATTGAAAGTAGGTGGCTTGACTTTTTGATGAAAAAAATCTAACCGTTGATTGCACATCAAAGTTCTTTAGAAATTTGATTTTTCATTGTTTAATGAAAACTTAATTTTCATTAAACAATAAAAATTTAATCAGACAAAACCTCTTTTCCAGGACATTTATTACAGCTATGCAGTATACAATCTCCATTTTCAAATCTACAGACCATTAATTTCAATAAACTTTGTAATCAACAATTCCAGAAGTTTTCTGGAAGAAAGAAGCCTTAGATTTTGATGGTACTAGCAAACACAAACTGCATGCAGACAAGAAGCACCACCCACAGAAGTGCACCACTTACTCTTGGCTCACAAAAATTTAAAAATCTAATTTCTTTTAAAAACTCAATTTGAAGTTCTTTCATATTAACCAAAAGAAGTAATTTTTGTATATGTTGCTTTATATCTACTTTAACTGACACAATCTGTTTTTTTCCTGAACGAAGCCTTGAACTACAGTTTTAGAATTTAGCTACTTATATAATTACATCTTTGCTTAGTTTTCTACCCAATTTTAGAGAAGGTTTCGATAATATTCCACTTTGTTTTCCTTATTTTCTGGCTTGATTACAAATCTTTTATTTTTTTGAAGTAAAAAAAGCTGCATTTTCTCTATTGACCAACTGTTTGGAATGAGTATAAGAAGTGTGATTTTTTCGGATTTTGACAATGTCTAGTCAAATTTTGACTTGATTTAAGTCATAATATTGTCTAAATGTTTGTTGAAGCGGAATCAATTTCACCTATTTCGAGAAACACCACACCTTGTTCTGCAGCTATTTCCACACGATCCGAAATGATGAAGCCAAACATTGTTAATTTGATTTTTTGTACTTTATGATTGTGTCGGTGATATTATATCAAAATAAAGAAATAAGCAGATACCGTGTCTAGAAAATCTTTAAAATAAAACAACTCTGCAGCAACAGAATTACAGCACTTCTAATGAATAGAGTCTTATTAGTTATAATAAAAATAAAAATAATTTTTTTTTTTTTTAATTTTTAATACGGCTACTTGACAAGCCTGGGTTGTGGGTTGCTGTTATAAAACAAAGTTTTTTTTTTTTCACTTAGTCAATTTTGAATTGTCAAAGTCTCAGCGTAGTTAATATAGAAGGCAGACAGAAAAAAACGGCATAGACACATTTTAAAAACTTTAATAATATAATGGAAGTATAAACTGATGGAAGTTCAACCACATTGAAATTATTCGGGACTATGCTTGTAACCTTTTGTTTCGTAAACGATAAGAAAACGACATCAAGACTGTATTTAAACGTTTAATCTTTATACGTTGACTCAAATAGGTATGTTTATTTAAAAAATACGTAAATTTAAAAATATAGTATTTTAAAGGTTCGCCAATAATATTCAAGAAAATGGCGCAACGAACGGCATAAAACAACTTTTTTTTATAAACTTCATATTAAATGAATAAAAAATAAGTCAGGCGCGGATGCAGCATTTTTTGATGTTTGAGATACTTAACTTCCAGACATGGAGCAAACTCCAAAAGTTTATATGTTTATGCTTATATCAAATAAGGATGCTTTGCAAAAAATTGCACCGATTAAAGCCTTAGAACAAAAAAGCCAAAACTTTCGCCTACCCTTCCCCAAACGTGAGAGCAACAAGTTGATGAAATATTTTTTCTACTATTTTCAACTAGACTTATATTCATCCATAAATTTTAAGTTTTATAGAATTATCTCTCAGTGTTCAAAAATTATAATCATATAAAGTGTAAACCCCCCTCAGTTTGACGGGGTTGCAAAAAATTATGACAATATATGTCATAATTTTTGATCGCTGAGAGATAACACTATAAAACGTTATATTTATCGATGAGTATAAGTCTAGTTGAAAATAGTACAAAAAATATTTCATCAACTTGTTTCTCTCATGTTTTAGGCAAGTGTAGCTAAAATTTTAGGGCTATTTTGTTCCCAGGCTCCAATCATCGCAATTTTTTGAAAAGCATCCTTATTTGATTTAAGTATAAACATATGAATTTTTGGAGTTAGCTCCATGTCTAAAAGTTAGGTATCTCAAACATCAAAAAATGCTGCATCCGCACCTGAGAGTACTACAAGAATAAATGAAATTATGATATGCAACTAATAAAACTTTAAACTTTAGTTATTTAGAAAACAATTTTTTCGATTTTTTAAAAATTGTTTAAGTTGCCTTTTTAATCGAATGTCGTGTTATGATTTGAAGTAAGAAAAAAAGCTTAAACTAACATATGCTTTCAAAGTCAAGTGGCTCTATTTAATAACCGAGTTTTAATAAACCTTTTGCTGAATAATTGCAATTACTAATCGTTAAAACTTTAAAGCATATCCCTAAAATAATTAATTTATTATTTATTGTTAAAATAAAAATGTTAATTTCGTTGTTTTTTGTCCAGTGAAACTTGTATTTTTTTTTATTGTCGGTTACAAGCATACTCCCGAGACGACTTAAAATTGCTTTGATGTTTGCGGCTCGATGAACTTCCATGTATTATATACTTCCATGATAATATACACATTGATTACTTATAAAAGTCTTATTATAAAGCAAAGATCACACACACAAAAAAGAAAAATTATCGTTTGACTTAAATTATTTAAAGTTTAATTTATAATAAAATTTTGTAATTTATAATAAAAATTTATACAAAGACTTTTATAAATGGTCATTATATACTTTCTCAAAACTTTTTAAATGTGACTATGCCGTTTTTTCCCGATCTTCAAATGTTATTGGCATATTAAAATTATAATGTTAAAACAGTTAACAATTTTTTTAGACCAGTTAATAAACAATTAATAACCCTGTTAGGGGTGTCCATAAATTACGTCACGCAATTTTTGACCGTTTTTCAACCCCCCCCCCCCTCGTCACAAAATCGTAACACTTAAGAAGCGAGTTTTGAATGTGTCGTCACAAAACCACCAACCCCCCCCCGTTATAGCGTGACGTAATTTATAAACGACCCCTTATCGTGAATCCAATTGACTTAAATGACGTAAATAACATTTTTTACTAGGAGGTGTCATAAAATTGTTAACTAAATAATAATAACTTATAATAAAAAACAAATATAAATAAATAAAAATTAATAGAAAATTAAAATTAACTTTTCAAACAACTAATTGGAAAAAAGTTTTTTATTTAAAATAAATTTAATTTAAAAATAAAAAAGTTTAGTTGTAAACGTCCCCTTTAAATTCAAAATATCAGGAAAAAATAAAAAATAATTCATAGGGTTTTAATTTTTTTAAAAGCAATTGCAAATAATTGAACTTTTGAAAAATATTTCATAATAATATCACCGTACCCTTCATTACAGGTGTTCAATAGTAGACTATAGTCTCAGTTTGCAATTGATTATAATTAAGGAAACATTTTCTAATTTTTGGGTTTTTGTTTTTAACTCCATGATTAATTTACTTTTTAAAATCTAAATTTTTCCAATTTTTAAAGTATGCTAAAAAAATGAAAAAACTTAATTTATTAAAAAAGACACCTTAAAATATTAGATTTGATTTGAGAAGTGACATAATAGGAAACTGTTAATAAAACAGTGACATCAATAATTTTTAACATGCACTTATAAAATTTAATTTGGTCATTATGCATATTTTTCTAAAAACTATACAGTTAATTTATCTTAAATTGCAACTATCAATATAAACATGGAGCTGCCTAGGACAATATCAGCAATATGATATTACTGAATTATATTTATTAACTGAAGATGTTGTTGGTTATACTTTTATATAAACTAAATTTGATATAAAACATCAATAAATAATTTCTATATAAGTATTTTAGATAAAATAATCCTAGTTCAATTTAATTAGCAATTATAACTAATAATTAGATTTACAACTTAGTTGCAATTCCATTAAGAATCAAATATATAAAATATAATATGTTAAAATTTAGTACATTTAATAAAAATGTATGAAATTAGTTATTTTATTTGCATAAAGAAAAATTGTCTGCTTACATAAATGCAGATATGCATTCATATAAGTAGATATAAATTCATATAATGCAATATAAAAATGAAAAATAAATTGATTTTTACACAAAATTGATTTTGTCAAAATCAAATTGATAAAAACATTAAATGAAGGAAAAATTATGGTAGTTATACTGGTTCAATTGGTCTAAATTTCATATAAGTTTAATTTAAGGGTTTTTCAAAAATGATTTTTTCATCTTTATTGTTTTTTGTTTTGTTTTCAATTAACTATTAAAAATAAAACAAGTTTGTTATAAATTGATTCTTCAATCTATTTTTAATTTAAAATATCAACATTTCTTTTAGAAATGCAGCACAAAAATGAATAAAAAGAGAAGTTATAGAAAAAAAAAAGATGAAGATGAAGAAGATGATATAGATGTGGCTGCTTCCATTGAAGATCGCAAAGAGTTGCAAAAGTTTCGAAGTAGGCCTAAAGGTGTTAGTGTGGAAGTCTTAGCAAGTTTATTAGATACAGTATCCCAAAATAAAGAAAAAACTAATGATGACCCATTTAAGTTGAACTCAGGTGGAGGTTTGGTTGATAATGGAAAATCTCGAGATTTGTCTAATTTTGGAACCAATTTTTCCACTGAAACAAATCAGCGCGATGAAGATAAACAGTTATTAAAATATATTGAAGAGGGACTCATGAAAAAAAGAGGAGTAAATCAACAAGAAAATCCAGATACAAAGTAAGTTTGTTTTATGTGTAAAATTAAACAAAATTGACAATAATAATACATTAAAAGTGTTTCCCAATTTTGTAAATGATAAATGTTTATAAGTATTTACATTATTTTATATATCACAATGTTATATATTAAATTTGTGTAATATATGTTTTATGGTAAAAAGAGTATTATCAAAAGAAGATCTTTTGTATCAGTTACCTGAAAACCTAAAAGTGCAATCAAAAATAATGAAATCAGAGGAGATGTTATCAAGCCAAGTGTTATGTGGTATCCCCGAAGTTGATTTAGGTAAATTTGAAAAATACGACTGTATTTCTTTTTTTATTTTCAATACTTTAACAGCTAAGTTATTAATTTTTAATTTTTGTTTATATTTTTAAATTTATAAAATTTTGATATTATAGTTCTAATCAAAAAATAGTTTAATTAAAACAAGAAAACTAATGTTTATTTTTAAAATCATTTTCAAGGAATTGAAGCTAAAATTAAAAATATTGAAGCAACAGAAGAAGCAAAAATGAAGATGATAGAAGAAAGCAAAAATCGTAAGCAACAAGCATCTGAATTTGTACCAACTAATATGGCATCAAATTTTATGCATCATAGCAGGTTTTATGATGAAAAGAAAGCTATCGAGAAAGAAAAGAAAGAAGAAAAAGAAAGATTAGAAAATGCTGTTGTTATTGACAAAGGACCTACTGTGGGTGGTGACATTATTGAAAATGCCGAAGACTCCAAATTTATCAGAAATACAATGTCATCTGGAGGAAAGCGAAACAAGAAAGGTACATCAGATGACTTTATGTTTGAATCGTTTAAAAAGAGAGCCAGGGAAGGTAAATGGAGGTGATAGAAAGTTGTTGTGAAGTGTCAATTACTCAAAAATTTAAAGTTTCTGTTATTGCTCTTGTCTTTTAAGCATTTATCTTTAAGAAGTTTGGAAAACAAGTAAATCAATAAGAAAAATGGGGGTTGCTTGATAAATTTGATGCAGAATCAGAATGATGCAGAAATTTGAAATTAAAAAAATAATATGCATTTTAAAACAATTTATAAAATTAATTATTTATGGAAAATATATGCATAAAATTTTATGGCTTGAAAAATGTTTTTTTTTTAAAAAAAAAGCTAAATAGCCATGGTCCCACACTTGGTTTGGTGGATCTCATAACTTCATTTTTTAATTTTGAGTAGCACAGAAAAGTTAAAGCAATTTTTTAAATCAAATTTTATTAAATAAAAGTTCATTTTGTTAGTTTTTAGTTAATCATTTTATATATTTTTAAATTTTAATAATTTTCACAAAAAGTATAAATGGGCATAAAAGTTCTTTGTTATAAAGTTTTTAATGAAGAATTAAGGAGAATTTGAATTTTTAAAAAAGAGTTTCAAAATTTTTTTTTATTTTTAACAATGCTTTTTTCTTCACTTTGCTTTTTGACATTTTTAAATCACAATCTTATTAAAGTTTTTAATGTTAAAAGCTCTAGAGTGATTGTTATTTATATTAACAACATTAAAGTACTAATTATAGTGTTTATTTTTACAACATATCTATCACGTTTATTTATATTATATATAAAATATTTATTTTATATATAAAATATCATGTTATATATATTATAACATTATGTTATATTATATATAGCATAACATAACATTTGCAACATATTTATGCTGTATTATATATAATATATATTTTATTTTACAATATATCACAGTATTATGTTGGTAGGAGAGAGTAAAACTGTTTTAATTATATAAGTTGTCTTTCGTAGATTATTAAAATTAACAAAAATTTTATGGAATAAATGTAATGAATGACTTCTCTTAATGATTTTCTTCCACTTCCTGGTTCAAATAACTGGAGAAAAACAAGATCTCTTACAACTGATAGCAATGAAGATTCTACTGTTGTGAGACATGTTATTATAAGAGAAGTTTGGTTAAAAAAACATCCATGGCCTCATGCTGTAAGTAGTTTATAATTTTGTTTTCTGTTATGTTTCAAGATGTATTGCATCTTTCACTAAAAAAAAAAAAAAAAAAATCCTATTTTTATTATTATATGGTTGCCAATAAGGTTTGAAATATATGTATATATATATATATATATATATATATATATATATATATATATATATATATATATATATAAATATATATATATATATATATATATATATATATATATATATATATATATATATATATATATATATATTTATATTAAAAACCAATAAGATTTTTAGAAAATAAGCTAATTGATTCAAAGTGAGATGTCAAAAGTTGAATGAATAAATATAAAAACAAAATTCAAATAAAAAATTTTAAAAAAGTTTCTAGAGTTATGGCAACCTTTTGGCATAATGATGACAAAAATATTGTCAGATGAAAAAGATTCTACTAAAAACGAAATTGTTTTTATGGAAACATTAGTGATTAAAATGTATGACAAAAGATTTTAGTGTGTTAAAGAAATTTTTAGTATTTTTTTGAATTTTATGTTTTAATCTTTCAATTATAATTATAAGTTTTCTTCATTGTAATTTTTTTCATTGTCAATCAATTAAGATTTTTTTTTTCAAAGATATGATAGTTTAAAACTATTGAAACATGGCTTAAATTAATTTACACTATATCATCTATATGGACTAAACTGATTTTTTTCCTTTTTCAAATGAGGCATAATATAGCCCTTGTACTCAAATGACTTTTTCAATAAGTATGATTTAGTGAAGAGGGTTGTTTTTATTACATGTTTTTTGATTCAAAACACCAAGAAATTTTCAGATAAAATTTAAATTATATCAATAAGCTTTGACTTAACTTAATATTTATTTAAGTTTAAGATATCGAAAAATAATATTCCCTTAAAAAGGAATGTTATTATTTTTTCTTTATCCACAAAGGGATATTTTTTTATAATATATATTCTTTTAACATCTTCACTTCTAACTAGGCTGCAAGCAGCCACTATTAGAGTTGGAAGTTACTGAAAGAGAAAAGACAAAGTGTATAAAGCAAGATAACAATTGACAGACGACTTAAATGATTGCAAATTATATAAATCAGGTAAGCAAGTTTAAGGAAGTGAATTCAAAAGAACTGATATTTAAAGAAAAAAATTAGTTGAATAAGAATTTTTGGAGCACTTAGGAACAGTCACAGTAAAAAAACTTATTTGAATGACGAATAACATAAGAATGAATTTTAGTAGATGGCTCTAGAGACGCTAGCTCTTTAGAGCAGTGTCTATTATAGTATTTACAGAAAAGAGAAAGAAAAGCAATATTACAAGAATGCAATAATGGTTGGCTGCAAAAGCAGACCCAAATATGTTTACAATGCATTTTTTCACCTTGTCTAAAAGAGAAAGGGAATCATTAAAAAATCCGACCCAGATAACTTAGCAGATGCTAATTTTCCAATGGATTTTATATATGGTTTCCAAGAAAGATCAGAAGTAAGAGTTAATCCTAGAAGATGAAGGGTGATACAAACGGGAAACAATGGATCAACCTGTTTGTTGGCTGTATCAGATAGGATGTGATTAGTGGAATCAAGAGATGAGGTTGAGAAGAGGTTTTTAGCAAACAATTCAACTTTATCTTCAGGTGGAGGTTATAAAAACTGAACCATGCAAGAGAGAAGGAGTAAAAAATTTGCCCTTATTAAAGATACTGTTAAAGATTCTCAAGTCTCTATAGTCTAATTTTTGATATAAAATACAAGATTTTGTGACCTGAGAATAGTGAATAGCTTTAGCATTAAACAAAATCTTTTTAGAATTGTTTTTAGAAATAATAAACAGAGGTCTGTTTTATGCAGAATTGTTTTCGTGATAGATATGGAAATAATGGAAAAAATTGCAGCATTACGAGTTAAAGGAAGATAATCATCAACATCAAGATCACAAGATGAGACAGCTAAAATTAGTCTCACAAGGAGCAAAATATTACATATTATTTTATATTCATCAATCTTTTAAAAAATATAAAAATTTTGATCAGTATTTAATGAATTTCCATATATTGATAATGGGATATGATCTCCACTTTTTGTAACAGAGTATTGCAATTGATTTATACTACCTTCCAGACTAGCTGTAGCTCTAAAAATTTTGGAATTTCTGTACTGCCAATGAATGTGCATGTTTAAATTGGTCCCGGTCCCTCCTAATTAAGGCATTAGGGGGGACAGGGGCAAGTACTTTTTTTGTTATGGAATCTTGGGATTTTTCACTACTTTCTAGACAAACTGAAGCTCTGAAACTTTCAGCATTTGTGTAGTTCTAATGAATTCGTGTTAAAATTGTTTCCAGGGCAGTCAACCAGGGGTTTCACAGCCTGGGGCACTGGGGCCATGCTCCACATATTATCTCAATTTTTTTTTTTTTTTTTGCATTTTCAATAATGTAATAATTATTTTGAAAATACTATCTTCAAAAAATTTTATGAATTGTACTTTTTTCTATTTTATTTAATTATTTACAAAGTACAATAGAAAAATTTAAGTAAAATATATCAAGATTGAGTTAAGATTTGCTTAGATGTGTCAATGGTCAAAGTATACAATCATCCAGTTATTGTTACAGGTGCATCAATAATACAAATTGTTGGTACTATGTCACATTCCTTCAAAACTAAATTTAAATTTTTGAAATCATATTTAATTCTAAAAAAGTCTTATAAAATTAAATTTTTTTTTATAAAACAATTTGTTTCTTTCTTTTAAAATTCTAAGTTGCAGTTAAATGCTTTTTTTTTACTTCTTAATATATTCTGAATAAATGTCATATAAATGATAATAAATGATAATTTAAATAATCCAGAAAAAAAGTTTTTGCCTATCTGAATGCTTTTGACATTTATATTTTACAAAAAAGTTTTTGCTTAACTGAATGCTTTCAACATTTATAAAAAATTTGAGCTGCATAACACTTCTTAACAAGGCCTGTCAAAGTATTTTTTTTTGGACAAATTTAGTTCTATTACTTCATCTCTAAACCCTTAAATAAAATTTGTGAAAAAATAAAAATAAAGCAGTATTTTTGTTTAAACAATAAAACTTTTTAGTTTTTATTTAGAAAGTATTTTATTAAATATGTTTAAATGCTCATACAATTTTTATATGTTCTAATTAATAATAGAAAATGCAGAAAACAAACTTTGACACTGTGACTTTAAAAATATAGTTTTATTAAAGTTTTAGATATTTACTGTTCTTTTTTATAGAATTCTTGAATTGAAAAAAAAACAAAAAACAAACTAGAGCTGCTGTTAAAAATCAATAGTCGCCCTTTTGGGCGACTTTATTGCATCAAAGGAATAATTTTAGTTGCCCTTCACAAAATTTGATTGTCTGGTATCTTAACCATGAGTGTACACCTCTAAATATGTCACAACCTCCTCTGCAACCCTGACCTAGAAGTTACAAGAGTTAATTTATAGTGTTTAGTGACTAAAATATTCCTATAATCTTATTAATTAATCTTTCTCTATCTGAGAAACTGAAGTGAAACTGAATTCAAAACTGCTACAGGGTACAATAATCTACCAGCATTTATTTTTAAAAAATTTTCTGTAGCTATTTTGCCAAACATAACAGTAAGTATTAACATAACATCTAAGTAAAGCATTGAAGATAACTATTTTCAAATAATGTGTAAAAAAGCAAATATAGTAGCATTCTGGAAAAATAAGGGATCAAATCAAAACCAGAGAATTATAGACCTATTTCAATACTTCCTGTGTTAGGAAGAATGTTTGAAAAGATAATAGCTAGACAACTGTCTACTTTTTGTGATGTGAATAAGGCAATTCCTCCAGAACAATATGGATTTAGAAAGAAATGGAGTTGTGAGTATGTTCTTATAAATGTTGTAGACGATTGGATGTGTAGCCATTGATCAGAGTAAATTTACAGGTGCTATTCAAAAGGGGTTTCCACATTTCTTTATCTGATAGGGAGCAGAAAGTCATTCAGGCCAATCAAGTAACCCAGTGGAAGCCAATGTCAAATGGACTTCCTCAGGGAAGCAGACTTAATCCTAAACTTTTAATATTTGCATTTGAGATCTTCCAATTTGCTCTAATTCTCATACAACTCAGTTTGCTGACAATATTATCCACTCTGAGGAAGATGTGCGCTAACAACGAAATCCGTACATATATTTTATAAAACCAAAGACTTCTGTACAACTTATAGCCTCATGATAAATTTGTCAAAGACACAATTTTTGTATTTAGATAGTTGTACAATCAATCTAGTCAAAAGAGTTATATTGTTAGAAGTAACCCTTGATTAGCATCTTACCTTCCTCATATAGTTCTCATATAGATAATATTAAAAAAAGTTATCATGGTATTTTGAAAGTTCTTTTGAGAGCTAGTCAGTACCTAACTTGGGACCTTCTGAGATTATATATCATTAGTAAGATCTCAGCTTGAATATTATAGTGCAATTTTCTTACTGCATCGCCATCACAGTAAAGGAAACTAGACATAGTTCAAAAAATTGCTTCCCGAATTATTTGCGGAGCCAATTGAGATATTATTCAGCCCCACTTCTTACTAAATTAAAACTGGACTTGTTAAAAGATAGAAGAAAAAACCATGTAGATGAACTTGTTCGTTCTCGGAAAAAGGATTGTTTATTTAAACTATTGTAAATAAAACTCTTAACTTAATGACACTGTAACAGCCCTTATTGAGCATAAAAAAAGAAAATATATATATATATTTATATATATGTATAAAAAAGACAACATGCCTAAAGAGGCAGAAAGTGGTAGGCTTGAAGCTTGGTAAGTTTCGTAAATGCGTAGCTGTGGTTCCAATCCTACAACTTGCTCATTATTATTATTATTATTTTTTTCTCCATTTTTTAAAATAGAAAATAAAGGGTTTTTGAAGTTCTATTGATATTATACATAAAAAAAACAAAAACAACAAAATTTTTGACATTTTTTTTAAACTAAGTTTTTTTCAATATTTATTTTTTGCTATAAATATATATGTCCAGATTGAAATTATGAATAGAAAAAAAAAATATATGTCCAGATTGAAATTATGAAAAGAAAAAAACAAATCATTTTATGTCTTATAAGCTCTAGGTATGCAAAAAAAGGTGCATATATAAATTTTTTTTGCTTTCAAAGTAATTTTCTTTTATGAATTGTTCTTCTACCATTGACCAAAAAGTATTGAAATAAATAAGAAATAAGTA